TTCTGCACCAGCAACTGTGGCCCTTGCTCAGCCTTGGCGGGTGGCAAACTGGCACCTCCGGCTCTGCATGGTGCCACCTTCCAGGGCCTCACACTGCCAAGCAGTGGAAGGTGGAAAACATGTAGGGGCCACACTGTTGAGGGATGCTACACAAATACGGATGAGGCCAAGTGGGTTCATGAATATTAATGTACATTTCAGCTTTCAGGAACATCACCACAGCACAAAGATCTAATATTACTCCTGGCCACGCAAATGCAGCAACATCATCGTGTCAGTCCTGCCAGCACCGTCCCAGGGTGAGGGTGGGATGCCCATACTCTGGACCCAGGCTCTTTGCTCAAGCCCTCCAGCAGCCTAGAGGAGTGGGATGGGAGCTGTGCTCTCTCTGCAACCCTGAGGTCCTAAAACATAGGTAGCAAGAGCCAGGCGGGCAGGGAGCTGACAGCACTGTGATCGTGGCCATGGCACCTGCACCATGGCAGGCACGTGTGGTCGTGGTACCCCAGGAGCCAGCAAGGGATGCTGCCTGGGGAGCTGGGCAGTGTGTGGGGCTGGCACACCCCGTGGCTGGGGAAAATTGCTCTGACTCCAGTCTCTCTGGACAAGGGGCAGCCCAAGCTGGCAGGGTCTGCATGGGCCAGTCATGCTTTAGAAGGCATCATTGATGAAGGTTACAGAGCCAGAGGAAGGATTCCCCAGGGAGCTGGAGGTGTTTGAGCACCCTTCCACCCATGCCACCAATAGGCTCCAGGGGAGGGGAGGGGAGGGGAGGCAAGGCTCCAGGGAGGCACAGGGACAACAGGTGGGACACACACTTCACCCCTGCCCTTGGGCAGGACAGGACCTGTAGAGCACCTGCCCTGGGGCTTCCCAAGGACCCCGGGCTAGAGAGCTCCCGGGCTCAAACCTGATGAGCAGCCACACTGATGGCTATGGGAATGTAGGGGTGTTTCCAAATACCTGTCCTTCCTCCTTTTGCGCCAATATCCATCTGTACTTCCCTAGCAGCCACAGCTCCCAGGACCACAGGACATGTATCAGCCAAGCACTGCTGCCAGCAGGGACACCACTAGGAGGGGTTTTAGGGGCATAAGCCTTTTGGCTTGGCAGAATATCCCCATGGCATCATCCCAGCTCCAGGATGAAGGGTGCTGCCGGCCACCTGCATCCCTGCAGGTCCCTGGGCACGGCAGTCCCTGGGCATGGCAGCAGGCTCCTGAGCTCAGCCAGTGCAGCACGAGGTCACACCCAGGCCTGTGAACCCAGGCAGGCACGGGGGGGGGGGGGGGGACCTTCTAGTTACACATTTACTATATTATGTAGCACTAATAAAAAAAAAAAAAAAAAGAGAGGGGGAGAAAGGGCTTGAAGTTTTCTTAATGCCACATAGTAAAGTATTTATAGAAAGTCAGGCGTGAATGGGCCGCTTACAGGCCACACTCCTCCTCGGCGTCAGGATCTCCAGGAATTATTCTGTGCAGTCACATTGTTGTATTCACCTAGAGATTGAGTTTAATTACAGACACGCAGGCAAACAGGCTGTCAGTGTTCCAGCCTCGCCGGGGAAAGGGCAACTGAGCTCCCTTTAATGAATGTATTTTAAAAAGACCCAAGCTTGAAATAGAGAGGGAGGGAGGGGGGCTCGCAGAGGCAGTGCTGGGGGCAGCAGGGATGGGGACAAGCGGACGGGGGGAATGCGGGGTACTGGGAGAGCCACTGGGTCTCTCCGAATTGGGGAAAAGAGCTGGGATGCTGGGGAGAGCATGGGGACAGTTGGGCATGGGGTGTTTGGGGCACACAGAGCTAAAGGCGTGTGGCCCAGATGTGGACAGAGCAGCTCACAGGATGCAGGGCCCCAGGCATCCACTGTGAATCAGATGGCAGTTCCCTTCAGAGATCCAGAGGAACTTCCCAAAGAAAATGAGGGGAGTGGGGAAGGCTCCTAACTTATTACAGAGCGGTGTATAAGCACAACAAATAAATATAGAGCTACTTTATTACAAGGCTGGTCAACTCTGGTGGCTGGCTGATTACAGGGCAGGCTGCTCCAGAGCTACGCAAACCCAGACCTCAATAAAGGCCAGATTGGAGCTGCCTTTCCCTCATTGACAACTTTGGTGCGCTCCCACCGTGCTGCTCAGCTCCAGAATGCCGCTGGCTGCCCCCACAACCCGGCACAGGGTGAAGGGGAAAATAAAAGCTTAAACAAGTAGTGAGTAAGCGATGAGCAGGGGCAGGCGGGATCAGCAGCCTGCCTTGCAGACAAGCACTAAAAATACAGTTTATTTTCCTAAGAAGCCAGCAACTTCTAAAACTGGAGGTTTTAAAAAAAAAAAGGGGGGAAGAATAAAATGCCATAAGAATTATAGATCCATAGTGGGGGTGGGGGAAAGACCTAAGAACAAGGAAAGAAAAACACAGCGATGAGTAAGATACACACATGACGTATGTAAATACACCGAGACGGAAATGCATAAGCCTCCTGCACACAGAGGCACACGCAGGCACATGCAGAGACACATGTGTGGGGCCAGCTCCCGGTGGGGATGGGGCCAGCTCCCGGCGGGGATGGACCCAGCCCGTGCTCTCTCCTCTCCCCAGGGCCGAAGGCATTAACCTCTGCACACACACACACACACACACACACATCTTTCCAGAGCTTAGGCTGAAAGGGCACTTTGTCTTTTGGTCCACGGTGCTCTATACACCTGGGCTCCCAAGCCCCACCGGTGAGGTGGTGGCCACTGTCCCCAGGGGTTCCTATGACCACCTCTGTGCTGAATTCCTGGCGCCTGGCACAAGCCACGGACCCCGCAGTGGGATGGAGGGTCAGGGCATGGACCCAGCCAGGCCAGGAGCCTCCTGGCCAGCAGCCAAGGCAGCCCCATGCCTGGGCAGCCAGCCAGTGCACAAGACCCCAGCGTGCCCACAGATGAGGGAGGGATGGGGACTGGCACGTCCATGGGGCTGCAGGTCAGGAGGCTTTAAAGGAGTTGATTTAGTATTGTCCTACCTGCCCTGAAATGGACACTTGAGCATGGGATGGAGGTTGCTTCGGGTCATCGTTGTGCTGAACAGAGCCCTCACAGCACAGGGCTGGAGAAAGGGGATGCTTTGGTATAAGCTCACCTCCCTGGGCACAGCTGGGTGAGACTGCTGTGGTCCTGCCTGTCCCCCATGCACATCTCTACCAAGGACATGCTCCCCCAAACACGTTTCCATAGTGATGTATGAACATCACCATGACCACCAGCCCCACCAGCACATTGGTGCCACTGCACCCTACCCAGGGTACGAGCCTGGGAGAAGGCACAAAGCTGGAAGGGAAAGCAGGCAGTCCTGGTGCTACACAGCCTTCCTTGGCAGTTTGCAAGGGTTGTTTCCCTGAAGGAATCACCATGTGCCCCAAGGGACCCCAGCCACCTTCAGCCCTGTACACTACCCACCCAGCTTCATGGCAGAGCCTGGCCCTGGTGCTCTCAGGGAAGTGGCATGGGACAAAGTAAGATATAGCAGAGCCCCAAATCACCTTCCAAGCTGCACATGGGATGGTAGCACCTGGGCCACATCAAGGCACCTGCCGCCTCTGCTTTTCCTCTTCCCTCATCATCCACCATCACCTGCAGGGGCAGGTCTCACCAAGCACATGGTGAGCCTGGGGCCAGCTGGGGCCATCGTTGCAGCCCCCACCACTGTTCCCCCCAGCCCAGGGAGCGGAAAACGGATCTCTGCAAAGGGCAGCTTATGCGGAAGCTGTTCGCATCCCGTAGTGCAGGCTCAACGGGTGAGGAGCAGGGCAGCTCCCAGGTCGGCAGGTTATCGGATGATAACAAGCCAGCACAGCCCAAGCACGCGACTTCCAGCAATGCAAGACTGTTTCCTTTGTTTTGGGAAAACAAGAGGGGAACGAGGCCTTTTCTGGCACGTTCTTGCCTGGCCTGAAGCTGTCCCCCACTTGCACCAGCTCAGAGAGGAGCCGTACCCTCTGCCCGCCCCTGGCAGGAGGAGGTGGCTGGGGCCACCCCTCGCCCTTTCGCCTTTCCCACCTCTGTGAGGAGCAGGGCTGAAGCCGGTGACTCGCCAAGTGGGGCCAGACAGCTGCTGCTTGCATCCCCCACACCCTGGTGGGGGTCCTGGCTGCCTCCTCAGCCTGGCTGTGATGTGGGCTTGCAGCCCTGCTGGAGATCCCCTGGTCCTGCTGGCACAAGTACATCTCCCAAGCACCCTGAGAGGGTAAGGCTAAGGACCACGGGGGTCAAGACACCTATGCTTTGGGCTTTGGGGACCCTACCACACTAGGGTTAGCTCAACACCTCCCCCATCCCCAAATGGGGGGCTCAGCCCTATATTGGGACAGGAGAGCAGCACAGGGTTTGAGCAGCCATTCCTACCTTCCCCTCCATCCCATGGTACCCCCTGCTCCCGGGAGAGCTGCAGGTTTGATGAGGGTGGGGGAGACCTCCCCACCCCTTCCCCAGCAGAGGAGGAAACATAATAAGAAAAATAAAATTTATAAGCGAGGCAGTAATTACAGTGTGGCTACAAAAGGCTGCCTCCTCAGGGCCATCATTATGTGGCTAAATTTAACGCCCTGCGCGGCTGCTCGGGGCGGGTGGGGGGAAGCCGCGTCCCGAGGCTCTGAGCATCCACACAGACGCCAGCTCCTGCTACCTTCCCTCCGTGCCGGCCAGGGCAGGACAGCTGAACGGCAGCCAAGAAAGCCATAAAGCGAGTCAGAATTTTTTTAATAGTCTATTTACCAAGATGCTGTTTTTACTGCCGAGGTTTCTCTCGTTTTATCTCTGGCTTTCCCCCCCCCCGCCCCGCTCTCTCTTCCCCTGACTCTTGAACAGACCGAGCTGTATTTTCTGTTTTAGGTTCCTCTCTCTCACTTGCTTTAAATACTATTTTCAGAATTCTAATTTTATATGGTATGTCCCTTTTTTTTCCTCTTTCTCTTTTTTTTTTTTTTTTTTTTTGGTAAATATTTGCCATGACTAAGCCAGGACACATCCCGTTTAAAAGGTTCCCATCCCACAAAACATGAGCCCTTTAATGACATGAATCTCATTAGTTTTCTCCATGAAAAGAGGTATAGAAAGGGAGCATCACTCAGCCCCTCTGAGATCCTGTATCTGCACAGACATATATTTAGCCGTGTGTACTGTACAGTCACAGGAGGGGACAGTCTGGGCACACGCACACCACCTCATTCAGCCAGAGGGACACTGAGTGGGAGCCTCTGGGACCAGTGGGTTTTGGGATATCCGTCTGTCTGGGATAGGGTTGGGAAAGGCTCTGGGCCCAGTGGAGCCAGAGCCAGTCTGCAAGTGCGGGCAACTGGGCACAGAGGAGCCTCAGAGTCCCTCCAAACTGGAATTTGGGATCCTCTGAAGGACCTTCTCTAGTGTTGGGGAGCAGGTTGTGTAAAGCTCACCCGTGCTAGGAGAAGGACTGCAAGAGAGGCCCAGGCACTGCCCTCTCCAGGTCCTCAGTCCCACTGGCTGGCTTTGGCACTGGGTGGCAGATGTTGGCTACATACTTGGAGATTGACTCCGAAAGACCAGTACAATGTCCCAGGAAAGGTATTGGGTTGAAATGCCCAGAGAGGTTTCCTTAGTAAGGTAAGGGTCTGCCTGACTGAGTGGTCTTTGCATCAAGTACAGCATCCCTGGGGAGAACGCAGAGATCCCAAAGTCTCACACTATTCCAGCCTTCCTCTCAGCAGAGGAGGCTCTGCCTCCCTCCATTCATAACAGCATCTTCTGCTGGGGAACCAGTCCATCCACGGTGCCATTCTGGGCATGGCCATCCCTACTTCAGCATGGTCTTCCCTTCTCCAGTATATCTATCCCTTCCTTGGTGTGGTCTTTCCTTCTTCAGCATGGTCATCCCTTCTTTGACATTGTCATCTCTTTCTCTGCACAGTCATCCATCCCTCAGGATGGTCAATCTTTCTTCTTGGTTCAACAGCTGTCTGATACCAGATGGAGAAAACCCAGGAGATGCCACACACTTGCCCATGGCTGAGATTTCCAATCTCTCACGCAGAGCCTGAAGGACAGAGTAGGAGTAGTCTACGGAGAAGAATTTGTCCTCTCTTTCCCAGATCCTCTCTGCATTTTCCCTCTTATTTCCAGTCCAACAAGGATACAGTGCTATTCCTCAGCCCCACTGCACCCCTACCATTTTGGCATCAGTTCAGCATGTTAGCACAACCTCCTCGTCTTCCTCCAGAGCTGTTCCCAGCAAACCAGGTGTGAAAAATGTGCAAAGATACTGCTGAGCCTGCAGCATGGGGCATAGCTGTGCTCACCACATTCCCATGGGTGCTCCTCCACATTTTGGGGAGAAAGAGGAATAACCCCGAGAAGGGCTGCAGACAGGCAGTGCCATGCAGAGACCACTGCTGCTGCAGGCATTGCACTGACCGAGCAGCACAGGCTCTCCAACCCACAAATAAACCTGGAGGGATTTCCCTTCCAGCCTGTTTTCTTTAAATGGCTTTAAGGATTTGGTTTCGGCAGCTGAGTAGACCCAGCATGAAGTGGTATCATCAGCTCAGGCAGCAGATGCCCAGAATTGAAAGGCAGCACACCTACAGTGGGTGTTTCCACGCTCTCTGGTGTGGGACCCTCTCCCCCTGCAACGTGGCCACATTACCAAGTGTTTCCACAACCCAAAAAGTGAGACATGACTAGGAGGAGAGACTCACACCTCCCCAAGTGCATGGCTCCCAGAGCTGGAGCTTTCTGCAGCTGTGCCGGAGCCCGTGTGCTGGGCAGGGCTCCATGTGCTCATGCTGCACCGAGCCAGGTTCCCTGCCGGCCCCTAGCAGCCAACATTAATTCATTAACAGTCCCATTAACACCCAGCTGTGGTTTCCCCCCAAACTCAGGCAGGGACCTGCTCCCCCGTGACAGCTGCTGACAGACCAAGTTTCCACCTTCAGCCCTTCTGGAGTTCTGTATAAAAATAAGCAGGGCTTTTTTTTCAAAAGGAAAACTATATTTCCCCTATCCACACGCCCGCGCACACGTGCAGGACTCACAGGAGGAATTTGCTCCAATTTCCCCCACCCACAAACACATCGCCTTTGGCCAGAGACCAAATGTGGGCATTTTCAGCCCAAGATATCAGGGGTTTTAGCACCCAGAAGACAAGAAGCCACCATGACCCTGACCTGGGCTAAATAGGGTGCCTCCTCCCCAGCCAAGGGGTGCTGGGACACTCAGTGGTGCTCCCACCAGGGGGCCTCATTCAGCATCCACAGCAAGACAGGTGCCAGCCGTTCCTGAAGAGTGCCCTCCTGGCATGGCCAAGCATCCTGTTTGGGATCTGGGACCAAATTTCTATTTTCCCCTTTTCATTGTCATTCCCAGACAACTGTGAGCACCAGCTGTGCTGCAGCATCCCAAGGAGATGCCCAACTCAGCACCTACTTGGGACCTGCTACCCAACATCTATTTTTTCCCTTCCCACATATTTTCTCAAGAGCTGTGAGCACTAGTTGATGTGACACTCCAGAAGCCCTGAACCACCCTCTGCCACAGAGGGGCTGATATCCTTGCCCTATTCCATCCAGCTGCACATAAGGTTTTGCAGCCTGTGTCATCAGCACAGGAGTTGGCTCTTTGGGGCTCTCACTGGGAAGCTGGAGGCCAGGGAGCAGAGACCTCCACCAAATGTAGGAACCAAGGGACCAGAGCACTGCTCAGGGCTCAGTGGGTGTGCTACCTTAGGTATGTCACCAACAGGGTGGCTTCAGGTCCCTGGAGAAGACAAAGCTGGTGCCACCTATCTCCCAAGATGCCTGGCCACTAGCAGAGCACCCTGCAGCCCTTTGATCCAGAGGTGTTTGCCTCGCTGAAAACCCTCTAACTACTCTTTCCTTTAAATAGCAAAGCTCACAAATGCCCTATATGGCTCCATGTCTATATGTTGTCTATATATTTGTGTACACACACGCACAAAACACACAGAGATTTATTCGTGTTTTCAGAGCGGTTCAGGATACATTCCAGGACGAAATTCCAGCCAGCACTGGAGCCAAGAACATCAGTGGCCCCGGCATTTGCTGCCCCCTCTGCCTGCGTACACACTAAATACAGAAAGGGAGAGGTATAAATAGAGAGAGAAATACATGAATGGCCCTGTTTCCTTGCACAGATACATAGGGCACGAAGGTCGGAGCAGAGTGGGAGCAGGCAGCCTCAAGAATCTGATGGTTGTACCCCCTGGGGTGCAGAGCAACCCCTCCCCAGGTGCTGCTGCCTGCCCAGATGTGCTCAGCTGTTCAGTATCACCTCTGCATGGGCTGGCACAACTGGAAGGGGCTACAGGGGCTTTGGCCCAAGGGATAGGGAGGAAGCAGCTCTCAGAAACACCAATAAAATCTGCCAGTGGATACCACTGGAGAAGGGGTGTAGCTGTGGGTATGGGGGAAGCTGGCAAAGGGCTTGGGACATGCAGGGACATGGTGAAAAAACCTGACAGCCTATTTCAGGCACAGAAGGGGTGCAGGGGGCTGCAGAAGGCAGCACCAATGGTGCAGGCAACACTGCTCCTCTGCCCTGCCCTAGGCCAGTGGAGACAGCGGGGTTGGCAACACCCCAGTCCAAACCCCATCAGCTGGGGACAGAGAAGTTACCACAGAGCAGTGCCATTAGTCTACCTTGTTTTACTCCCCAAAAGGTCCTTTGCTTGCAGGAGTTACTGCCACATCCTGAGCTGAAGGGCTGGACCGGCAGCTGTGGGGTACAGTGGCAAGGGACAGACCATGTCCCACACCTTTTCCCCTACCAACTGTCCCTGCATGCTCCATTCGCCCTCCTCTAACCCAAACACAGTCTGGCAAGATTGGGACCCCAGACACCTCTGTGCTGCCTGCTGCCCCTTGCGTGCTCCTCAGGGCCAGGCAGCTGCCTGCAGCCACGGGGCCTATAATGGCCAAGATGTGGGAGCAGGGCCAGGGGTGGTGGCAGGGGGATTGCTGCTCTGCTTTCAGGAGGAGGAGGGGGCTATCCCCCTTCAATGCTCCCATTTGAGCTGAGGCCTGGCACTGGCTCAAACCACCGCCTTGCTGACACGAGATCAATCATTCCCTGAGCTGAGTTGCTCCTCAGCAGCACTGTGCAGTCAGTGCCCATGCATGGGCTGGGGCCTCTCCCGCAGAAGCAGGGTCTGGCCCCTTCTGCCAGATGGCCTGTGATGCCCCTCTTCCTGCCTGCAGTGGCACCTGGCATGGCACAACCTGGCACATCACAGCACAGCATGGCCTAGCCCAGCTTTGCAGGGTATGGCACAGCACGACACGGCATGGAGAGGATGAGGAAGACTCCAGCTACAAAGGAGGGTTCCCTGCATGTGCCAGACCACATATGCCACTGCAGAGCCAAGGGCTGTGCAGTACCCCAGGAAGGGTGGCTGTGTTGGTGCCTGTCCATCCCTCCACCCCCAAACAAAACACTAGGTGATGCTGGGCTGAAGTGAGCTGGGACCAAGCAGACAGCTTCCTGTACCTGGCCCAGATGCCATGCACTTTCTGCAGTGGCACAGCCAGTCGCAGGGGTTTGGGCTGTGAAGTCCCCACATCCCCAGCAGGAGCATTCCCTCAGGGCTCCTGGGACAGCATCCACATCCCCAGCAGATGCGAGGTCTGGAGTAATCACGGACAGCATAGCCCTGGTCCAGCTGCTGGGGACTTGCTGCTTGCCCGAGGTCTGGGCACTTTTGGGCAGGCTGCTGCTCTGGGGTGCCTGTGCCAAGTCTGGTTTTAGCAACATGCAGCTCCACTGACTCACTGCTTGTGCAAGCAGCCTGTGGCTGCCAGGAGTGGCCCAGAAAGTGCATACTGGCTGGGTGCCCCTCACCTGATCGGGCCTCAGCAAATAAATAAATAATGCCACAGTACTGACTGCCACGCGGCTCCATGGCGAACACTGCAGGGGGCCGGTGCCCACACAGTGGTCAGCACCCAAGCAGTAGTGAGCACCTGTGCCCCCAAATGCCCCACTGAGGGCACCAAGTGCTAGCCCCTGTCTCCTTCAGCCAGCAGTTGTGGCACTTTGCCCCTTGCTCCCATCAGTGCCAGCATGCGCGCTCCCAGTCTTGTTCACACGCTCCTGCTCTTGTACTCACACTGAGCACAAGTGATCCTCCCCTCCTGCTTGCAGCAGCATGCAGCTCCTTGAGGGTGTGCAAGGCAGCTCCTTTAGCGTGTGCAAGGAGCGTCCTGCTCCCCCCAGCACAGCCACAGCCTACTGCATTTCCAGTGTGGGACTCGGACCCCAGGGCAGCAATGGGATGGTGTGAACAAAGCTTGCTCAGGAATGAAACAAGGACTGCCCAAGTGGCCCTAATTCAGAACAAGACACAAGCACCCATGCGTCTCACTGGGCAAGCACAGCATGAATACTTTGCTGCACACAAGAGCTTGCTCTGCTCATCGAGCAGCCCCATAAGCCAGCCCTATGCTGCCACCTCTGCCCTGATCCAACCTGCCAAGGGACCTCAGCCCAGCCGAGTGCCCATGCCATCTTCTCTGTGAGCTGTTCACCCTGTGTGCAAGCAGTCCATGTCACACACACACTGCCGGCCCCACTCTGGCTAACTAGCAGCTGCAAAGCCACAGCTACCTTGCGCTAATTAAAAACATCCCTCGTTTGAAGGAGCCAAAGGGCCACTTCCTCTCCACTGCACTGGGCTGGCGTGGGTTTGAGGGATGTCATCCCCACCCTGCAAAATGTGCAGGCCGCTACCGCCTTCGCCCACTGACCGTGGCCACTCCACTCCCTGGGGCTTATTTTTAGTGCCTGTTAAAAAGGCGAGGCAGGGTGCTGGAGGAGGCAGGTGCTCAGCTGGCCCCGGGGTGGCAATGGCCTGTGGCTCCAGAGTGCGTCCCAGCCGTCCTCCACCTGCCCTGCTGGCCTGTGTCCCTTCACAGGAGGGGGACGGGCGCCTGGCCCTGGTCCCAGCCCCGGTGGGGAACAATAAGAGGGATGCTGACCCCCGGGCGCCCTGACGTCAGCCAGCACCGCCGCCGGCACCACAGCCAGCTCTGGCCCCGGGGCTCCCACTCGCCCTCGGCTGGGGCCGCACTGGAAGCCGCCTGTTTGTTTATCTTCCTCTCCAGCATTGCTTGTTTTGATGGCACATCCTCCTCCTCCTCACCGGGCCCCGGGGTCGAGCCGTGAACCCGCCGCGTCCTGTTTGCCGAGGTCCCGCGCCCCGCTTGCGGAGGTGCGGAGCAGCCACCCCCGCTCCGGCCGCAGCAGATAAAAATACACAGGGCAGAGCATCCTGGGGAGCGGGGGCTATATTTGCACTGATGGTATCGGTGAGCTTGTCCTCGGTGTACCTGTCCCTGCCCTTGTCAGAGCACGGGGCACAGCACTGCATAGACCCCCTCCCCCTGCCCCTCCACAGAGCCGGATCATTGACTCTGGCAGAAGCTATGTCATGAAATGCTGACTGTAGCCAAGCTAGGACAAGCTCTCAAAACCCATGGGTGGGCACCCCACGTTGCCCTGTGGGGTCATTTCTGTAACCCAAAGGGACACCTGGGGACGAAATATCCCCAACCTGCTAGGTCCTAGGCTGCTGGGAACAGTGCCGGGGCAGCTCCAAGGCACTGAGCCCTCTCCAGCCACCTGCTCCTTCCTCTCATGGTGTGAACCCCTGGGCTTGCCAATAAAAGCCACCGGCTTTGCCTCAGCTTGTGCACAGCCACCAGTCTCCTTCCAGCTCTGCCCAAGCCTAGGCAGCTGCTCAGCAGTGAACCCTTGCCAAAAACTGTGTGTGTGAAAGCATCATTTCCTAAACGTATAAATATTACCAGGGATTTGCTGGAAAACTCCCCACGGTTAGTTAAAATGCCCTGGACAGCCAAGTCCACACAAGCCCAGGGAAAGGGCATGTTTAAGCTGAGCGGCTGAGCAGATCTGCCTTCGGGGACTGACATGTCCTTTCCTCTTCATAGGGGATGCCACAAAGGTTTGGGAAATGAGCAGAGCTGTGGAGCACTTTCCCGCATCCAGCCCTGTGCCACACCATCGCAATCCCTTTCCAGCCAGGACGTGCTTACTGCTACCAAACATTCACAACCTGAAGCTGCATTTTCCAAGTGGAGAGGCTGGAAGGACCATCAGACTTCTCCTCCTGACCTCCTGCCCGCAGATGTTCAACCACGCACATCCCAAGACCAAACCCAGCAACCTGGTTTTCTTCCAGGCAGGCTCCCAGCCCAACTTTTAGAGACATCAAGAGATGGAGGATCAACCACTGCCCTTGGGAGAATGCCCCAGTCGTTAATCACTTGCAGGAGCAAACCCAAGTGCCTCCATCCTAGCTCAAAATTGCCTGGCTGTGTCTCCCAGTGCCTGGCTTGTTCTCCACTGCTCTCTGTGAGATTAAAGAGAGCCCTTCACTAACCAGCATTTTCTCCTTGTAAAGACCCTCACACACTGTAATCAAGGCACCTCTCAATTTTCTCCCTGATAAGCTAGAAGAGCTCTTTCCTTCCAAGTCTCTCAATGCTGGGCTCTCTCTCCAGCCCTCAATTCATTCCTTGACTCTGTGCTTGATTGTCTGGTGTCTTTTTGAAAACCTAGACACAGGAGTTGGTCACAGCATTCCCAGCTCCCCATAGCACACCCCAAGGGACCTCAGTTCCTTGTGTTGTTCCTTTCAGGAGTACTAAAAGGAGTACTAAATTGCCTGGGTGCTCTGAAATCCCTGCACAGAGAAGCCCACCCTTCTGCTGCAAGAAAAGAGGAGAGACTGGGGTGAAGAGCCAGTTTTGGTGGTGGAGAGAGCTGAAATCCCATGTTTGGTGTTCCTCGCTAGCACAAGACCTAGAAGACATCTGGAGGAATAATAGGGTACCACATTTAAACCAAAGGCAGCAGCTGTTCACATCTCACAGCTCGCTGCTGCAGGAAGGCACATGGGCCAAAAAGCATCATTGGCGGGTTTACAAAGAACGGGATAAATGCAGAGATGACAGATGAGAGGACAGACATCGCCCCGGCAGACCGAACACACAACCCCCAGCCTCTCCTCTGTGGCCAGTGCTCAGACGTGGCTACCAGGGGACGCAGAGAGGGAGCATCTCCCAGAACCTTTCATTCCCTCTGGCCCCAAGACACTGCTCCTGGACTGTTTTTGGGATACAGCACCAGCTGCCGTCTCATCTTTTCAGTCTCTGCAGATGTGATCCCCACCAGCTGCTTTTGCAAGGCTCTGTGCAGGGCTGCCTCACTCCCCTCCTACCCAGCCTGCACCTTCCCTTGTACCCGACACCCTACCAGCTCTCGGAGGATGCTGAGTTTGAAGCCTGATGTTCATCTTTAGCAGATGTTGTTCAGCCTACCCTTGGACAAAGACACACTTCATCATCCCCCGATCCTGGCACATCTGCCTACATCCTTCTAGTGACAGCACTGAAACATTTACCAATTGTTTCTGCCATGTCTGTTCCAGTATCAATCATTTTACCACCTCTGTCTACTAATAAGCTTATCCCACAGCTGGGAGCTTGGGGTTTCTCCTACTACACTAAATAAAAGCCTTTCCTTCTGTCCTTCACCATGATTTTTCACTGATGTTTTTAGCTTCTGTTATCCATTTTCTACACTTCATAATTTCTAATTTATATTGATTGCTATCTACTCCCACTCTCCCATTTGTTATAAACTGCTCTTTTATTTCTAATTGCTGCCTTCACTTCACCGCTGAACCAGAACGGGCTCTTGGCCAGCACTGCCCTCTTTCTTGATTGTGGAATTGTGGCTTTTTGTGGCTTCTGAGATTCTTCTGAAAGAGCTCACCATTTTCATTCACATTTTTCTATCTAAATGTTTCCTCTGAGCTGATTTCACTCATAATTTTCCCCCTGCTTTGGGAAATTAGCCCTTTCAAAAGCATGAAGGATATAAATTACTGTGTAGGAATGTTCTTTCTTTGCCCAGGGTGAATGTAATCTGGTCATGATCATCGGTGCCTAGGCAACATCCAAGTTGCAGTCCAGCAGTAAATTCATCTCTATCCTTCATAAGCAGGGGGAAACGAAAGTTGCCTGCACTGGATGCAACGCCTTGCACATAAAAAAGGGATCATCTCTAGTTTTTAGAAACTCTGCAGATCATTTATTCCTGGCTGCACAAGAGCATCAGCTTGTCTCATAAAGCAATATCTTCACAAAGTCTGTGTGATACCACTGACACCCTGGTTGACTCCCTGGACCCCAGCAGGCACCACTGCTCCCTACTCCTTTGCCTTTACAGTGAGCACAGGAACACTCAGAAGCATCCTGAGTCTTTTTGCATCAATGACCTTCAATCATTTCTGACCTTGACACATTAGTTTGAATCATTTTAGTGCTTCTGTCATGATTTCCAGCCATGAAAAAGGATCAGAGGAAAGACTCTCTTCTTCCAGTCCCAGTTTCTCCAAAGCACATGTCTGATTTTAGAGCTGAGTGTGCCAAGGGGACAGTGGTGGGCACAGCACGGATAACATGGTGAAAAGCACTTGTCCCCACAATTAGCCACTGCAAAGTCACCTCTAAAAGCAAGAGGTGAACCAAAAGGACCAGATGGCTTCTCCTCATTCACCTAATACCTGCCTGCCATCAGCATCAGTGTTTCAAGTCCACAGCAAGTGCGGAAGGCAGGTGATGATGGCCCAGCAATAGCATACTCCTGTGGAGCAGCCAGCCTGGCTGGCACCTCTGGGCAGCCAGGCAGTGCCCATCCAGCCATGCCAGGCATGTCCCCAGCTCTGCTCACCCTGCAGATGAGGTACAAGGACACAGAGAGGGCCATAGGAGAGCCAGAGGGCTTGACTCCTCTTCAGATAAGTCCAGTCAGTCCCATCAGTGCTCCCATCCAGCCTGGCCACCTCACACTGGGGCTGCTGATGCCAGCTCCTGACCACCCCTGTGCCAAAGGATGGGGGACTTGCACCACTTCTTACCTCAGTCATGAAGTTCTGCTGAAATGTCTCCTCCTGGAAGGGCTCTGTCCGCAGTCGGTCTGCAAGTGAGAGAGGGATCAGCCTGGGCAGGTCTGGGCAATCCTCCTGCCCCAGCTTCCTCTTCCCCTGCCTGTGGGGTGAGGAAGCTGCAGGGAAAAAGCTCTAGCACACTCATCAGAGCCAGCAGGAGAGCCAAGCAGGCCCCTTGGGCTAGGAACACATCACCCAGTTAACAGAAGGTGCAAGGACCACAAGGAAGTGGGAGAAACATGGTTGAGCCTGCTGATGCACACAGCAACCAGGTAGCAGAGCCAAGAGCCCTTGTCCCAGCACCCTCCTACACTGTAGAGCAGTGGCAGCACATGCTCAGCACTATTCCCAGATCTTACAGTTGGAAAGAGCTGCCTGAGTCTACGGGACAGGGCACTGCTTGTCCAGTTGCTTTTCTGAAGGAGTGAGCCGGCCTGTGTCCTCCTCTTGCAGGACAGGGACATACCCCTGTTATATTCTGCTCTGCACCTTGTTGAAAACACTAGTTTTTCCCCATGTGACGGGGGGAAAAATGATGTGGTCTGGAGAAGCACCTGGCCAGATTCCCTCAGCAGCTATGGTGCAAAGCTTACTCCCAGCCTCCTCCCCTGCACCAAGTAAGGGACAAGAGGGGTCACCTGCTCACGAGCTTCCATCCCTAGATCCAAGCCAGGCTGTCCTGGCTGCTCCGAGTCCTGCAGAACTGGCACGCAGCAGGAGAGAGGGGAGCGCAGCCAGCTGATGCATCTCTAGTGCTCCTGTGGTGGGGCACCTGTCATGAGACCACATCACCTTCCTGGACATGATATACAAGCCAGGGCTGACCCCCATCAGTCCCCACATCCGAGGGGGCAAGGTTTCCACAGAAGGGCAGGTATCACCTGTGGCGGCAGGACAAAGCACGGCACTAGCAAGGGACAACCCAAAAACGAGCATCCAGCCAACCTCCATGGGTGGAGGACAAACTGCCCTCTAAGGTGGCTCCCCCCGGCAGGTCCTGACCCACATCCTACCCCTAAGAGGGCTACTGCCTGCCTGTTCTGCCTGATGGCAAAGTGGGCTGGGCGCTGGAGGGGGACCATTGAGCATGGCTGCACTTTCCATGTATGAGAGAGCCAGGAGCTCCTGTTTGCTCTCCAAGCAGTCAGTGAGCTACTGTGCTCGGGAAGAGAGCCTGACACCTCTACATGACCAGCCCTTGCTGGCATCCCCGCCAGCTCCTGGGGACCAGCCAGGTGCTCTCGGAGTAGTGGAGAACCCCTTGGTAACTCCCCAACTCCTCCAGGTATCAGTCAAGGGCTGTTCCTCCCCCAGCTCTCCCCAGGGGCTTTTCCCCAGCCTTCTGGCTACCATCAGGCTGCTGGCTCAGCTCAACAGGAAACACAAGCCTGGCTGAGTAATCGCCAGAGGGAGCAGAGCACGCCAGTCCTGTGCTAAGGAGGAAAGTCGCTCCCTGCCCCAGGTATTCCTCCTCACCTCTGCTGAGAGTGGCCCCGCTCTCCCTGTAATCTTCAATCTCAGCATCCTTCTGGAGCACCAGGGAGATCAGCTCTTGCACCTGGTGCTGCAGCGCCAGGTTCATCCGAATCAAGGGCCGCACGAGGTGACGGGACACCTGTGATGGAGGAGGGACACTCTAGGAAAGGTCCAGGTCCAGGGAGGCACACAGAGTGGTCAAAGCAGGACAGCCAGCAAGGTCCTAGCAAGAGCTGAAGCCCAGGTCACACAGGGCTCCCCAAAATACCCCACATCTCACCCAAATACAGTGGGAAGTGGTCAAAAGATGTAAGCTGGAAGAAGGTAGGCCAGATGCTGTGGGACTCATCCCTTTATCCGAGTTCCATCCTTTCACAGCTGTGGGCCGTAGCAGGGGAGAGCTTAGGTGGGAGAGCCCAGTGGGAACAGTGTGCAGGGATAGGCAATGCTCCATCCACCATTTGAGGTGCAGCAGGAGGCAGAGAGTCCCCATGTGCCACCCAGACCCTCCCCAAGGCTCTGCATACCTCATGGCACGTTCTTATGCAGGAAACAGGCACAGCTGGGCAAAAAACCATAAAGACATACCAAGGTATCAAACTGCAGCTTGAGGAACAGGAGAGACTCTCCCAGGGAGGTAAGATCACAAGCAGAAGAGACCCCAACATATAGGACTCACGGAGGTTGCAGCTCCCCATCACAGCCCACTAGTGCCACCCCGAGCTTACACCCACACAAGCCCCATGCAGAGCCCTGGGCATGTCCACTGCCCCAGAGCCAGGCTTGACCACTCTGGCCCAGCAGGCACATGAAGCAGCCTCCCTCAAATCACCTTCTTCAGTCTCTGGCAGGGTATTTGAGATCTCCCCAACCCATCATACCCCTTTTCTCTGTGGCTAGGCTGAGCCCACAGGTGAGAGGACAGCAAACCCAGCATTGCTCCTAAAGCATTCTTGCTCCTGTGACAAGTGACCTCCACGCTCTGCTCACACACTCAGGCACAAGCCACAGAAGTGGCAGCCATCACCCACCCATGCATTCAGAGTGCACCATCCACAGCAGGGATGGGACAGGGCAAGACAGGTGGCCTCTGTGCACACCTCAAGCCCCTGGCTGGGGCAGAGTCGGTTTCGTTGCAGCATCCACACCAACCTCAGGACTCCAACCGCTTCCCACCTCTGCGGTGCCTTGCAGACCTCCAGTGTGTCTCCAAGCTAAAGGAGAGGAGCAGCTGAGAGCATAAGCTTTGCACCTCCTCAGCTCAGCCTCCGCGAGCCTTGCTCGGGGAGGGACATTAAACCCCTGAGGCAAGCCAAGCCGAGACCCCGATTATTTGCTCCCCAGTCCGACCTTGACGGTGAGGACAGGTCCCGCAGCAGCCGGGGAGCCCGGCTCTCCACCGGTGATGCTCAAGCACAGCGGTTTGTGGGGAGAGGAACCGTGCTCCGCAGCGCGACCCTCCGGGAGCGGAGTGCCGGGGCTGTAGGGCGCTGCCTCCCGCCGGCAGCGGAGCCGCAGGGCCGGCCCGGGGCCAGGGCTCCGCCGGAGGCTCCCGCCGGGCCGGTTCGCGGGCGCCGGGCGCCCTCTTGTGCGCGCAGGGACGAAGGGCCCCGGGGGATCACAGAATCACAGAAAATGCTGTTGTACGGGACCCATGAGGATCATGGATTCCAACACTTAGCCCTGCACAGGACCATCCCCAGGAGTCACACCATGTGCTTGAGAATATCATCCAAATGCTTCTTGAACTCTGTCAGGCTTGGTGCTGTGATCACTTCCCTGGGGAGCCTCTTCCAGCACCCAACCACCGTCTGGGTGAAGAACCTTTTTCTAATATCCAACCTAAAGCTCCTGTGACACAACTTCAGGCCATTCCCTTAGGTTCTGTCACTGGTCACCAGAGAGATTAGTGCCTGCCCCCCTCTTCCCCTCACAAGGAAGTTGTAACTTCAATGAGGTCTCCCCTCAGTCTCCTCCAGGCTGAACAGACCAAGTGCCCTCAGCTGCTCCTCATACGGCTTCCCCTCAACGCCCTTCACCATCTTCGTTGTCCTCCTCTGCACACTCTCTAATAGCTTTATATCTTTCTTATATTGTGGAGCCCAAAACCGCACACAATATTCAAGGTAAGGCTGCACCAGTGCAGAGCAGAGCGGGACAATCCCCTCCCTTGACTGGCTGGTGATGCTTTGCCTGATGCCCCCAGAACGCGGTTGGCCCTCCTGGCTGCCAGGGCACTGCTGACTCATATTCAACTTGCCATTGACCAGGATCTCCGGGTTCCTTTCCACAGCACTGTCTTCCAGCATCTCATTCCCCAGGTTGCACCATCCAAGGTGCAGAATCTGGCACTTTTCCTTGTTGAACTTCATATGGCTGGTGATTGCCCAGCACTTTAATTTGTTGAGCTCTCTCTGCAGGGCCTCCCTGCTTTCAAGGGAGTCAACAGCTCCTCCCAGTTTTGTGTCATCTGCAGACTTGCTCAGTATCCCTTCCAGTCCTACATCCAAGTCATTTATAAAGATGTTGAAGAGCACAGGGCCTAAGATGGAGCCCTGTGGAACCCCACTAGTGACAGGTCACCAGCCTGATGTTACCCCATTCACTATTAGCGTCTGTGCTCGACCCGTAAGCCAATTGCTCACCCACTGCATGATGTGTCTGTCCAGCTGTATGCTGCACATTTTGTCCAGAAGGATATTGTAGGAGCCTCGGTCCATAGCCCTGTCCCACCTGCAGGGATCCAGCAGAGAGGCTGCCTCCAGAAATGCAACATCCTGAGCAGCCCCCTGGACAGGTCCCCTTAAGAGCCAGGGAGACCCTGCTTTAATTCCCTCCATCATGACAGATCACTTGCAGGTCCTCCAGGGGTACCCGCTGCCCTGAGGCCCGTTTCATAAGGTGCACCAAAAGAGAATACCATCACTCTGCTCTACAGGGCACTGACAAGGCATCACCCCACAGTGGACACAGAATCATAGAAAGGTTTGAGTTGAAAGGGACCTTCAAGATCATCTCGTTCCAATCCCCTGCCATGGGCAAGGATGCCACCCACTAGACCAGGTTGCTCAAAGCTCCATCCAGTCTGGTCTTGAACACTTCAAGGAGCATCCACAATGTCTCTGGGCAACCTGTTCCAGTGCCTCATCACCCTCATAGTGAAGAATTTCTTCCTAGCAGCTAATCTAAATGTGTCCTCTTTTAGTTAAAAAACCGTATCACTATTTGCCTATGTAAAAGGTGCTCTCTTGCTTTTTTTATAAATCCTCCTCAAGTACTGGAAGGTTGCAATGAGGTGTCCCTGGAGCCTTCACTTCTCCATGCTGAACAATCTCATCTCTTCCAGCCTGTCTTTGTAGGAGAGGTGCTGCAGTCCTCCCATCATCTTTGTGGCTCTCCTCTAGATCTGTTCTAACAGATCCATGTCTTTCTTGTGCTGAGGACCCCAGATCTGAATGCAGAACTCCAGGTGGGCTCTCATGAGGGCATCTCCCTCCTGCCCTGACAGCAGCATGTGCTGGGCCATCCCTGCCTCACCGCAAAGCAAAACCAAGGTGTCAAGGTCTCAATGGGAAGAAACAGGGACAGTAAACCTTGGGAGGGGCAGCAGGCAGAGTCAGCAACCTACAGTCACCAGCATGGCTCAAGACCAACCAAAAGCTTCCAAGCATTAGAAGACAATCCCTAACTTTGGCCACTCCCTCCCCAAACTCTCTGCAGCTTTACTCACCATTTCCAAGGGAGCAGGGCAGCAGTGGAAGTCCCAGTAGAAGGGCAGTCCTGACAGCTCACTCTTTACATGCAGGATGAGGCCACTGGCAGAGCGGTTGCAGGAGAATGTGGTGGTAGGTGCTGGCTGCCCTGCCAGCAAGGGGCACATCAGGTTGCACAAGTGGTTCAGGAAGGAGGACACATTGACCGTCAGCCGCTTGTTCAGCTCCTAAGGAAAGGCAAGGTTAGGGAGCACAGCAACGCCCCGGAGAGCTCAGCATAGGGGAAAAAACAGCACAGAAAGAGCCAAACTAGTCCATGTCTCACTGCAAAAAGCCATTCCTGGGCCTGAGCTTCAACCTCATGACAGGACATTCCCCACTGGTTCTCCCAGGCCAGCCAAGTTGGGAAGGCTCCCCTGTCCTGCCAGCCCAGGATGGGCAGAGTGCAGTGGTTTCCACTAGCACATCTGCATGCCACCACAAGGGTCACAGGCTGGCAAGAGCCGACAGCAGGACAAACTGCCAGAGCTGGGGGATGGCTGCCACCATATGCCAACTCTTCCTGGCACCAGCCATTCAGCACAGCCATTATGTGACACAGAGACATGCCACTTCAGTGGCACGTGCGGGCCTGGACACATGGACTAGAATGAGGAGCTGAGGCATGGCTCCATGTGTTTCTGGGGGCTGGGCTGACAGGATACCCCATGAGAGACTGTCCTAGCTATGAATGTAAGCATAATCTCTCTGTCACCGGATGGTTGGCAACCCTGTTTCAAGCTCCTCCTTAGTACACTGTTACTGGGGAAACCAGCTGCCCATCCGACTCACAAGTGAAAGGAGTGTGCCATCCTCTGCACACAGACTCAGCGAACACCTAGTTGCCTTTGGCATGCTAAATAGCTTGGCCCACTCTCACAGGAGGAGAGTGTTTGGCCAACTGGGATGACAGTGCTTGGGCAAAGTTGCCCAGGGACTTCCTGGGCTTGGTGTTTGCACCCAAGCCTTGTTAGATCCAACAGTCATTGTGTCCCCAAGCAGTTTATGCTGGGATGTCAGCTGCTGCAAGGAGAAAAGAAGGTCCCTGGACTTTTCAGGCACTCACCTTGGACCTCTGTTCCACAGCCTTGGTGTCTACACTCTCGTACCAGACACTACTGAGGTCAGAGATCAGCAGGATATAGCCAGTATCCCTGAAGCACACTTTTGCAAGAAAAGCAGACTCGCCAAAGTGAACAGAAGCCCAGGGCTGGGTCAGGAGACCGCTCTCCAGCTCCTCGGAGACCTCCATCTGCAAGAGAGCAATCAGGCCTCTGCCTCAGCCTCCACCCAGGAAGACCTTGGTTCTTGCTGGCCCCTTCACGATGCAGCCCCACCCCACAGCGCAGAGGTGAGGATGCTCAGCCAGCTCTGGTGACTCACATCTCTGCACATGCATGCAGCAGAGCTGGGGTGGCCGTTTTGGGGAGCTCGGTGCAGGGCAGTTCCCACCACAGTTCACAATAAGCATCCCAGATGCACCAGCAGATGCACGGCAGTGTAACTGCTGCCGCCCGGGTTACCTCGTGCTTGCTGACGGCAACATGACAAGACCCCTATGCACAAATTAACATTTAAGCTGCCTCGCAGGCAGCAGGACGCTGCAGCCCTCCTCCTGCTGGGGCATCCCGTCCCCGCGCTCCACGAGAGCCCGCGCCGTCCCTGCCGGCAGTGACACCGGCAGAGTGCCGGCAGCCCACTGCTGCTTCCCGCTCCTCCCTAGGACGGACTCCATGCCTCCCAAAACGTTCAGGGACCCAGCACCCGCGGGGTACCCGCAAGCCCGGGGCTGTGCGAAGCCGCGGCGTTACCCGAAGGCAGGAGGGGGAGGCGGACAGAGACTGCCGAGGTGAGGGCTTGCAGCCGCGATCGGCGCCGGGCCGCGGGCGAGAGGCGAGGGCAGACTACGGCTCCCGGCATGCTGCTCTCTTCCGCAGCCAGCGGGGCCGGGGCACGCCGGGAGGTGCAGCTGGATGAGCCACGGGCGCTGCCTTATCTTCCGTAGAGCGTGGGGAGTCACTGCTCCTGCTGCTTCTCCGCTGCTGCTAAGGACAGCGAACCTCTAGAGCTGGCGCGTCCCTCTAGAGCATTCCCAGTTGCCGCAGGAGGTGCTACGGCTGGTGGGGACCGAAATGCCTTACGACTTTGTTTTGCGCTTGCGCCTGTTATGAAATGTCCTGGCACAAGTGCCCAGCTGGGGACAGGGCGCGGTACAGCCGGAGAGGCAGCGGTAGCGAGGGATTCCTCATGTCCCTTGGCCCCGGGTTTATTTCTCAGCCCCAGGGTGCCGGTGCAGGCACGGCACAGGGCAGGCACCTGCACCGCTGTTCTCCCCGGCTGTGCGGGAACTGGGCTGCTGCGCCACAGCCATAGCTGTGGCTGCAGGTGCCTCTGTCCCACATGTGTGGGGACTGGGCTCACAAGACACCACAGAGCAGGGCTGTGCCAGCTTGGCACACCACACACCTTCAGTCCTCTCCACACTGAGCACAGCCCCATCCTTACCCCAGGCACTGACCTTGGAAACCCCAGCACCCACACTCTGACTGCAATCCCCAATGTGCACTCCGTGCATTGAGGCCATCCCTCCGGCTCCCACAAAATGCCTCCTGTGCACCCACGTGCTGCCCCTGAGCCCCCCATTCACGCTCTATTCACACACCCTTCCACTCACCCCTCTCCCTAGCATGCAGGCTGCAGCTGCACCTCAGAGCAGGGCAGATGGTCATCTCAGAGGGTTTTCATCCTGAAGAGGTGCCAGGGAACAGCGGAGAAGGTAGGGACTTTGGGGCACAGGACAGACTGGGTTGCATGGCCAGGTTAGAGTGCAGCAGGGTTTGGTGTGCAGGACTAGTTGGACTGGTCCAACTAGTGCACAGCTGGAACGTAGGGCCAGGTTGGGGTGCTGGCTGGATGAAGATGAGCTGTGCATTACACCCCGTGCCCACGGGTGCACAGGACCCAGCTGTGGGGATCGGAGAGAGCTGGGGAAAGAGGCCTCACAGCTGCACACACAGTGCCACCACATCTCTTCCACCTTGCATCCACCTTTGGGTGTTTCTGGGTGTTGAGGGCCTCCTTGGGACTAGGTGGAGGGGGCAGCCACAACTTGGAGCTGTGATCCAGCCCAAGCACATCACACCCATGGACCAGCTCTAGCTTCCTCCCAGCAAAAGTCCATCCTCCCTTCGAATTTGCACCCAGGGCAGTTCAGACTGGTGGAGGTGACATGGAGGGGAGGCAACAGAGTCCTTTCTGTGGACTCTGATCTGCTGTAAACGCTGGAGCAGTGAGCAGGGCTGGTGCAGACTCTGCTGCAGATGGCAGTGGGAAACAACCCAGGCACTCAGCTTATCCCCTTAGGTCAAAGGGCATGTTTTCTTCTCCAGGGAAATCCGCTGTTAGGTGGTTTAGTCACAAGAGCAATACCTAGGGGGCAGTTATGTGGTAAGCACTGCTGGCACCATCCTACTGTAGGTGAAAGGGCCTTAATTGTTTTGAGCTGAGCTGAGTTTTGATTCTGAGCTGAGTTGCACCCCCAGCCTGGGGCATCCTGGAGTGCCAGAGCATTACTATGCACCTGGTGCTATTGCCATCAAGGAGCCATGGGCACAACTGGGACACAACAGGGAGGAGGTGGAGAGCCAGCCCTTCCTCAGCATAGTGCCGGCAGGTGAGCACGCCTAGGGTTAGGGTTAGGCCAGTCCTTTGGGGCTGGCCAAAGCACTGAGCCCTCCCCTAGTCATGTCCACAGGGTGATGGTGGGTTTTAGAGGCACCCACATCCTCAGCAGCAGAGTCACCAGGTGGCCATGCCCTCCAGTCACAGTCCTCAGGGCAGCAGGGGATTCCCCAGGCAAATCCTGTCTGGAAAGGAAACCCCTGGAAAGGGTGAAGTTGGTTGAAGGTTTTTATATCTTGCTCCCAAGCAGGGAAATCAGGTTTGTGCTGGGAGGGTGGAACCTCAGAGCCCTCCAGTCCACATGGGCTTCAGAAATGAGAAGCAAAGTGGCTCACAAGCTGCCTTGGGGACACAGCCCTTGTTTCACGCAAGACATCCCCACACCACAGGGTCAGGCCACAGTGTGCCATGCGGGCACCTCTGTCTGGCTTGGCCTCATTGCTGGCTGCAGCTCCCCAGAGCTGGGTTTGGGGAGCAGGTGTGTCCCTTCCCCTGGAGCAGCAGTCCCCTGCTCAGTGGCACAGCTGCCCTCCTCCTCTTCCTCAGTTCTTGGGCAGAGGAAGCAGCAGGGGAAGGCTTTGCAGGAGGATGGCAGCAGCCTCCTCAGCCCAGTGGGGAGCCCGTATGCTTGGCTGACTTCTCCCCTCTCTCCACGGGGATGACGATCACCTGCCCCAGCTTTCCCAGGTGCCAGATCAGAGAGCAGCCCTCGTTCCTCCAGGGTTCCTGGGAGGTAGGCAGTGAGATGGGAGCCCCGTCCTCCAGGTGCATGCTCCCAGCCCACACCAGCCTCAGGACCCTAGCAGGACTGCCTGGAGGCAGAGCTGGTGGTATGGGAAATGACGGATCCAGCCCTCAGAGCAGGAACTATGCAGAGTACCTAGAACAGCCCCTCACCTGAGACCGTGTTCTCCAGAAAAAATGACAAGAAGCCAGTTAAGAAGACAGGCACCATGAGCAAGGAGAGGAAGAGGAGGTCCAGTGGCACCCAGCCTGCAGGGACAGTGCCAGAATCAGTCCGGGGGTCCCAGCTCAGCTGGGGGAAAGGGGCTGGAGCAGCCATGGCAGACCCAGGGATTGAAGAGGGAGCTGCCTGATACCATGAGCTGACCCAGCCTCCCAGGACACCAGAGATGTGTGGTCACCATGCCATGGGACCCAAAGCTTTGCCTTGCCTGGGGAATGTCCCTTCTACCTGTGGCCAGGTGAGTCAGAGCTGCACTGAACCACCGCGGCACCAGCAGTGCCATGAACATGGCAAAGCCGACAATGAAGATGTTCCTCCCTGAGTCGATGTCTGCGTACTGGAAGTAGGAGATCCCCGTGCCCACAGCCACGGCGTAGGTGACACAGAGCACCCCTCCTGCGAGGGGTGGGAGTCAGGCAGCGCTAGGCAGGCTGCAGGTGCCGCAATGAGGGGCAGGGCAGGGCAGAGTACCCACCGTGAACTGCCAGCGGAATGCGGGTGAGGAGCCCTGCCAGCCTCGGCGACATGCCCAGTACCACGCATGCCAGCGCGCTTACTTGCACTGAGAGGCGAGAGCCAGCCTGGCAGAAAGAAGAATGGAAGTGAGGATGGGTAGCACTACCCCCTACTCTGTCTCCGCCCCTATTCTGCCATGCGCACCTGCCTTTCCCAGTGACAGCCTGGGCATTACAGGTCCCCCACACCTGCTCCATTACCTCCCTGTCCCTTGCCAACCTTTTTCCCCCTACCCTGGCATACCTGAGTGAGGCCAGTGGCGCAGGTGTTGGCAATGCTGGAGGCCGTGCCCCCCGGGGTGCCCAGCAGTCCTGCCAGGAGGCTGCCCAACCCTTCCATGCAAAGGCCCCGGTTGCAGGCGTGAGTGGGCAGCCGGGAGGCTCGCAGCAGCCTCCCACACAGCACATAGCAGCCCACTGAGTTCATGCTGCAGCCGATGGCCATGGCAACGCCCACTGCCAATGCCCGGGGGGTGAGCAGCGGCCACCCCCACTCACCTGCAGCAGAGGGAAGAGGGATGGATGATAGAGGCCCCAGCCAAAGGTGAATGGCTGCACTCAGCCCTGCTGCCCCTCACCTGCATAGGGGATGCGGACCCAAGGGGCATGGAAGGTGCTGTTGGCCCAGGACAGCTGTGCCATGGCCAGGTCCAGTGATTCCCAGGGTATGTGGAAGCAACTGAGGATGGCACAGACAATGCAGACAGCAGCAAAAGGGAGCAGTACCTGCAAGGCAAAAGGGGACCCTCAGGACCCTCCTCCCCTGCCTGCCTTGGCCAGTGCACTGTCTGCTGTGCCCCAGACAGCAGGTCCTTGTCCTATCATCTCTTCCATGGAGCCATGCCACATCTCCCCTTACCTCTGCAGGGAGCATCCCAGGCTCTGCTGCCCCAACACCCTAGGTTCCCAGCGCTTCCCCAGAGCTGCACCAGAACTTCTCACCCCTGTCTCTGCTCCAGGTTTCACCTAACCCCACACCAAAGAGCAAGGCTTGGAAAAAAGCCTGGTCACAGACACAGTACCGAGAACGTGCGCAGGGTGGGAACTGATGGCTCTGTGGAGCCCTCCCGAGTGTGGGGCCAGGCGCAGAAGGGCAGGCGGCAGGACCGCAGGTGCTGGGAGAAGGTGACAGCAAGGAACATGAGCCTAGGAAAGGGAGCATAGGTCACCACACAGCATCACAGTGGTGGGGCCCCAAATATGTGCTGTGCACACATTTGGGGCTGTGCACAGGGGTGCCCCATCCCTGTCCCTGTGGTGAAGGAAAGCCCCAGGAGCCGCACACCATTATGGTCCCCAGGCTCACATACAGCAGCGCTACACCCCAGTTAGTGGAGCAGAAGAAAGCGGCTTCCTTGTATGCAGACAGCCCGATGATGGAGAGGCTGGGAGCCAGGACCATGGGCCCACAGTGCCGAGCTGCCCACCCGCACATGCCAGACACTCCCAGTACCAACTGAATCAGCCCAGAGACCAGCACTGCTCCAGAGACCTGCAAGAGGAAAGGATGGGGCCAGTGGGGCAGGATACATGAAGAGCAGTCCAATACTTTCCCTTGGCCACACTCCCACTGCCCCAGTAGCATCACTTGTTCCACATGTTCTGCTCACCCCAAGCCCAGAGGAACATATACATGCACATGCATCAGGATCCCCATTGCGTTTGTGCATCCCCTTGTGTCCCCTCTACTCATAGCAATCCCCCAGAGGGATGGAAAAAGAGACCAGTGGTGCAGGTATATGGATGAAAACTGTGAAGCTGATAGAGCAGGACAGGGACCCCCATCTCAGCAAGGGAGCACCCACCTCTTGCAACGAGGCAGCCCGGCTCCCTGTGACAGTGCAATGTGGTGCAGGGCATGTGCTGGCCATGGCTGTTCCTGGAAGGGAATTTTGGAGGGATGTGATGCACATGGATGCTGGGCTCCTGGAGCCGTGTCCAAGAGCACACAGCACGGAAGCTCCTGGCTAGAGAAGGAGCAATGTGCCAGTATCCCCATCCCCACAAGCTCTGACACTGGGGAGGTGACCAGATGCATTGCAGGTGCACTCAGGGGTGAGTAGGGTGCTGTGTACCATCACCAGAGGGGCCAGCAGGCAGGATCCCTTGCTATCCCTCATCTCTACCTCATGTACCAGGCACCCCATCATCGCCATTCCCCTGGCACCAGCGTGGCCTGGGCCCCAAGGGACACAGGCTCCAGGGCTGTGCTCACCATTCTTGTCTGTGCTGGCACTGGGAGACAGGTGGGAGCTCAGCACCATGGCAGGGACCAGGTACTCAAAGGATGGGATTTGAACCAGCGGCAACCTGAAGAAAGGGACAGCAAAGGCACATTAGGGAGGAAGGAGGGGAGAAGGCTGCTCCAAAAGCCTAGGCTGCCAGAGGAGCAGGAGTGGGAAGGGAACCGGCTAGAAACTTCAAAGTGGCAGGAGGTCATCACATAGTCCAGTCCTAGTATGTCCTAGTACATTCTTGGGATGTCCTAGTACATCCCAAGTGCCAGTACATGGGATGTGTGCAGAGGTCAGAGACTTTGCCAAATCCTATACCCAGCCCTTGTGTGTGCAGCGCAGGCACTGGATGGTCTGGAGGAGCTGTGTATGATGCTGGATCAAAGCAGGGAGGAGCTAGAGGGAAAGCACAGTGGTTTTTCTAGAGGGATGTGTGAGAGGGACGGGACAGCTGTGCAGAGATACAGGGCAAGACAGTTTCCTTGTGCCCCTTTCCACCTCCAGCAAAGCCTGTCTTCCGACAGCCTAGGAGAGGGCAGAGACATGCCCTGCCATGGCATCACCCACCTCCTGGTGACAGCTGCACCCCCTTCATTCCCCTTGCTCACCGGCTCCCCAGGGTGGTCTGCAGCACCGTGGAGATGCCACAGGCAAAGAGGCTGCATGCCAGCAGCTCGCTGGTGGCCTGGCCATGAAGCAGCTCCTTGGGCAGGGTAGGCAGCAGGAGGAGGTGGAAGATGCAGAGCAAGGAGGCCTGCACGGCCAGGTGCTGTGCAGGGAAGAGATGGAGCAGTCACAATTCCCCTGCAGTACCCAAAGCTGCAGCTCCCCATGCCCAGGCGCCCTGAGTGGGTGGATGCCCACTAACACCACCTGGGCAGCACTCACCACCGCCCACTTCCCTCCCAGCACCCACTGGCCAGAGTCCCACACACCCTTTTTCTGACAGGATGCAGTCCCTGCCCTGCCACTTGAGAGGATCCCAGCCCTCTCCTCATCATCCCGTCTCTCTGGCTCCTCACCATGGTCCCCCCTCACCTGAAGGGCTAAGCAACAGGTCAGCATCCAGGAGCACATCTTTGGAGAGGAGCAGGATGTGAGCATGGGGCTCCCAGCTCCAGGCACTCTGCCATGGCCCCCATTCATGCTGTTGCCTTGCCACGCTGCTCTCAGTTTGCGTTTCAAAGAAGGTGGGTGGGATCCCACCCCCCTCAGGGCTCCTCACTGCTGAACTTCCACCTTCTGCAGGAGCTGCCCCAGGGTTAGCCATTAACTTGAGTTGGTGAGTAACCTGCCCTTGTGGCCAGGAATGCAAGTGTCACCCTGGCTTGTCACCACAAGGGCCAAATGACAGCCAACCTGTGATGGTTTCAGTCTAGGCCTTCCTGGAAACCAGCTTGTAACCAGGAAGGAACTAGGAAGGTGACCAAGGAAGTATTCCATGCTATTCCTTTATGTAACCTAGGGTATAAATAAGGCATTGATAAGATAGTTCGCTCTCTTCCTTTCCGGCGAGGTTCGAGAACGGTGGGTCCCTGTTTCGGTCGGGCTTATCTGGAGCCGAGGCCTACAGTGACTGCTGTTATCTGCCACCCGTGAGGGGAGAGCCAAGGGCCGTGTCTAGCCATCCTGCCTGTTCGAAGGGAAGTGGTGAGATTTTTGCTAATTTGCCTTCGGCTGGTTGTTTGACTTGTGCGGTCCTTGCCCCTTTTTGTCCTTCTCCCTTCCCTTCCCCCCCACCCCGGTGTGTGGTATTCTCCTTTTGTGTATCTGTCTCATATGTAAAACATATATATATATATATATATATTTTTGCTATAGCTTTGGCTGCTTGGTTTTTTTTTTCTTTTCCCTCTCTGGGAGGCGGGTCCTTGTTGTTGAGTTTCAGGGGACTTGGCGGGAAGCCAGCTCAACCACACAACCACAGCCAGGACACCAGACACTACTGCAGTGCCAACTGGCCACAGCCTGGATCCCATCCTGGCCTCTTGTGATACACAGGGCAGGGGCTGGGTGGGCCACAGCACAGACACCTCTTCCTCCATGTGCTTGGGGCATCTCCATGAGCAGCATCCTCCAGTCCCGGTATGCCCTGCCCATACCTGTTCCTCCTCAGCACAGCAGCCCCTGCCCTCCTGGTCCAGCCTGGTTTCCGATGGGGATCTGTCACAGTACTCATTCTGCTGAATCCTACCACTGGACAAGGATGTCAGAGACAAGAGCTACCTGCTTGGTTGGGAAGGATCCCAAGGGCGCACAGGCAGGGGACGCTCATGTTTTTGTCATGGGGCAGAGGTGGATGTGCCAGTGACCTGGGCTGAGCCCTTGCTGTGCAGGGCTCACTCATTAATAAGTAAGACTTTGGAGACTGTGCATTCCCCGCATTCCCAAGGATGCGGAACCTCCTCTCTCCTGCCTTCCACAGGCAGCAGAAGTGATATTCCTCCCACAGGCAGCAGAAGTGATATTCCTCCTGTCACCAGAGAGCCTGGTTCCTCTTGAGCCCTGCAGGACAGGCTCCACAGTGCTCCTGAGCTCACCAGCAGCACTCAGGATCTGCCTCATACAGCAGCTGAGGGAGCAGGCATAGCTGCATGGATGGGGCTCTGCTCTGGGGCAGACATGCTGCCAGTACAGAGCAACTCAGCAGGACAAGGCAGGCACACAGCAAGAATTACTTTTATTGGAAGAGATTTGCATCTACAAAAGAGTGAAAAACAGGTGTAAAATCCACAGTAAAAAGAAGGGGCATGATGAACTCAACTGGTCAGCAAGACAAGTTGCCTTCTCCCCGCTCTGAGAGCAGTCAGGCACTGTTTGCTCACAGACACAAACAGCTGGGGTCTCGGATGGGGTCACAGAGCACCCCAGATTCAAAACACCCAACACAGGCAGGATAAGGAAGCTCAGCCCTAACCACACCTCACCCCCACCAAGCCCAGAGGGGCACAACCTTTCCCAGGGGCACAGCCATATTGGGGTGCCTCCTTGGTGTCACCCTTGCACCTCTCAAGAAGTGGCTTAACAGCCCCTAAGTGTAATTTTACTGCTATAACTAGTCGCTCCCCCCTCCTTCAACCTTCTCTCTGACTGGGGTCACTGCCTCAGCCTCTCCACCCTGCACATACATCCCCAGCATCCTACATCCCACATGCCACCTCTGTCCAACACCGCCACGGGCCACCCACTCACTATAGGAAGAGGTACAACACCTCCTTTGCACTGGCATCCCAGCCTAAAGGCAATCCATTTCTATCCTTCAGCTAGTAGGTTCCCACCCCAGCACCCAGCAAGCCAGCTCTGCCCCAGTCTGTCCCAGCAGCCCCCAAAGTGAAGGATACCCCTGCCCTGGGTGGGGGGACACAAATGCTGGTTTGGAAGTAATGCAGGGGCCTCCAGCCCCATGCAGCCCCAGGGATTAGGGTTTCCAGAAGTGCAAGGAAGTGAGTTGTGCCACACTACAAAGGAAGGGGAAAGGAGTTGCTGCCCTGTACTCCTAGCTGGGAAAAATGAAGTTCTTGATTCTACTGAGATCCATAGCAGTGTGTAAGAAGCACTGCTTCAGCCCCAGGGGGTCCAGCCAGTCCTCATGGTTGGGGGCTGCATCCCACGTGGGGCCTGCATCGGCTGAGCAGGCATGGCAGTGGAGCGCCGGAGGAGCCGGGAGCACGGCGAGTCCGAAGGGGCTAGGCTGGCCTGGGGCTGCAGCAGGGGTGGTACGGTTGGATCTCTCACAGGCAGTGGGTACTTTCCGGAAAGGACTTTGTGGGAGCCTCCTATGTTGGGCTAGATCAGGTGCCTTTGGGTAGGACAGAGCCGTCATCACACTGCTCCACAGGTAGAGTGCAGTTGCTGTGACACTCCCACGACGTGGTTCCTCAGTTGTCTCGTTCTCCCCCAGGCAATGGGTGCTGCTGGCTGAGGAGACATCAGGCAGCTTGGGCTGGGGCTGGCCAGGGCCTGGGGCTGGCTGGGCATTCAGCTGGTACCTCCTCTCCTCGGGGAACAGCGCAGGCTGGGGGGCTGCAGGACTGACGCTCCTCATGCACATGGACCGGTGCACCACGGTGACGGAGGCAAAGATGGCAGCAAAGCCCGTCAGGTACACCACGCCCAGGAGGCAGGCCAGCTGTGGAGAAGCCAACCGTTAGCCCTCCAGCAGGACCTCCCAGCCAGCCATGACCTGCATGGCCACGATCAATCCAGCAGCTATGATGGTAAAAGGCATCACCAGCTCTAGGGCTGGGTGCCAGGGAGCAGGCAGCCATGCTGCTAACAGCGGGTGGCACACAGCCTGCCCAAAGCAGGGCCTAAGTACCACAAACCAAAATGCTCCAGCTAAAAGCTAACAGTTCCTATTCAAAATCCCAGCCAGCATCCAGTTCCCTCCGTGCCACCACCACGTCTTTGCACCATGACTTGTGGGGCTATAGTCCAGTACAGGGCACACTGCCCAGCACCAGGCTGCAGTGCCTCAGGCAGTGCAGCTGCAAATCAGCATCTTCTGACAGCTTCCCTTTTCAACAGCTGCTGTTCCCAGGGGAAAAGAGGGTCCCCCTCCAAATCCACAGCCTGCTGGGTCCCATGTTCTTGCAAGTAGCTGCTCTCCCATGTCCTTACCTTCACCACTTGCTGGTAGAACTGGCCCAGCACATGCTGCCACACGGACTGTTCCATGAGGACACACAGATCTGTGTAGGTGAACCAGCCACGCCACATACCCTGTTTTTCTGCCACGCTGCAAGGAAAAAAAAAGGGAATGGTGGATGTGGCATGGACCTTCCCCATCAAGGCAGCTTCAGCCCAGGCAGGCTTGGAGGAGACCCTGTTCAAGGTCTGTAGAAGGAAGCTGCAGAGCCTAGCAAAGGCTCACGAGTGTCCCAACCTCTTATTTCACTGCAGCAGGGCTACCTCCAAGCAGAGGCTGCAACATGGATGAAGGGGTCGCCCCCACCCCAGACACCTACCGTCCTTCCAGCCAGCTCAGCACTTCAAACAGCTCCCGAGGGTCTGTGTAGAGACTCCAGTCCTGTGGAGACAGCAGTGAAAAGTCAGTGCAGTCAGGACAGGCCACCCAGCACCCGGACACATCTTTCTCTGTTCCTTCATGGGAGCATGTGGGGGAAAAAACAGACATCCAGATTCCCCTCAATGCCTCTTTTCCCCCGCTCTGTGAAAGTCAGCAGCAGTGATGGCTCCACTTACAATAGCGCTCAGGAAGTTCATCTCCAGTGTGTTCATGGTCTGGACGTCCACCTTCCCTGCTGCTCCCCACTCGTCGTTAAACACCTCCTCCTCCTCACCCTCATCATACAGGTACTTACTAGCAACCATCTAAAAGCAGCACAAAGGACAGGATCTCAGCCTCCACTGCACTCCTCCAGGCTTCCCTCCAACCCAGTTATCCCCCAGCCCACGACTCACCATGGAGATCAGGAAGAGGTCAGAAGATGAGATTTGCTGAAGGTATTCGGGGTTCCGGTGCCGGAGTCTTTCAATGTAAACCAGTGCCAACATCATGGAGCAGGGAGAGATGCAAGCTTCCCTGTGGCACAGGCAAGAACCAACACAAAGGTTATCCATGTGCAGCAGACATGCCAGCCACCATGGCACAACTTGGCTGCTCCCTCCCCATGTAGGCAGCAGGAGGTTTAATAAATCACTAGATAGGTCGCAGCCTCGTGAGCTCTGTGCTGGGTGTCCTGAGCTGCAGCAAGAGAAAGTGCAGGAAATGCAAAGTGGAGAGCAGAAAGCCCTGGCTTCTGTTCCCAGGCACAGCCAGCTCCAAACTGAGCAGCCCTGCCTGCAGCCAGGCATGCTATGAGGGCTCAGCTGCAAGGGCAGACCCTGGGTTCAAACCTGGTTATGCAGTGAGCTTCAGGTCCAGCCAGTACAGACTCACAGTAACAAGAGCACTCCTGCACCCCAGAGAGCAGGACAAACCTGAAGCAGGCCTGGCTGTGTCAGGAAGTCAGTGTGCCTGCTGTCCTTGACACCTGCCCCCAGCTCCTTTTTGATACTAATCAGGCCTAAGCACAAAGCCAGTGCTGGCCCAGGGACAGAAGTGAATCACAGGTAAGACCAGAGCTCCAAGTTCTGACACAGGACATGAAGGAACAGGTTTTGCTTCTTACCGAGACACATGAGACACATACTTCTTCTGGAGTCTGCGGATAGGACTGGGAGCCACTTTCTGCAGCAACTCCACAGCAATATCTAGGACAGAAAAGCAGCAAAAGGGTTAGCCCCATGTGGCACAGTCCACCCCCAC